GCAGGCTGGGCCTCTGCCTCCCCGCGCCCGGGCTGCTGAGGGGCCGGAGCCGGCCGGGGCCGAGCTTGGGGTGGGATCTCCCCTTGCCCCAGTGCAGGGCTCGCGGGTGGGTAACGGGATGAGGCTCCCGCCGAGGTCTGCGCTTAAGCTGCTTTATCCAGACCCTCCCCGCCCCCAGCAATGCGTGGAGCGCCAAGGCTCCTAGTAAGGTTTGGTGGGCAGCCTGGGCACATGAGTGTTGGGATCTTGCAGCGTGCTGATCCCACTGTGACTGCTGCAGCCGGGCTCTGCAGGCTGCTTGCGTACAGCAAAGGGGTGCACCCTCAATCCAGTTTCCTCTTGGGCTGGTTCTATCTATTTGCTTCTACGCTTCCCTACTTTAGAGCCCCCTAAACTCCATCTTCCGGTCCCCACTAATTTGAGGAGCATTTAAAATGGACCTAACTACTTAATCTAAGAACTAGATAACCACAGAGCCTTTTAAGGGACACAACTAACACTCTGGTGTGTTCACAGTAAAGCTTCCAAAAGTGCAGTGTTGAAGCGTGTTTTATTGTTTTCCTTTTTGGGGGCTACTTTTCCTTACTGAAATAATGGGAAGTAAAGTTGCTTCTTTCATTCAATAATGGAAGCTAGCAGTATGTACTGGGGAGTAGAGAATGACAGAGAGAACTTCTGCTTGTTCTTTGATTATCACCAAAAACTCTAGGGTCTGGCTGGTTGAGTGAGGTAGTTCTAGTTTAGGGTGTGTGGAGTTCCTGCTCCTGCCAGACTTCAGCCTGCTTCAACACACTTCTTGTTTTGGAATCAGAGTCAAATGTAGATTAGGACAAATGAAGAAGAAAACAGAAGTAGTGAAGGTCACTGGCTGTGATTGCCAAAGGGTAAATATTTATACAGCATGACTTCTGACTTTTGGATAGTTCTTGAGATGCAAAAATTGATGTCACTAGGGGAAATGATTTAGACAAATGACTAAATTAAATTAGGTCCAAATTATGTGGTATATACTGAATAGGACAGCCATGCTTTTTCTAATTGATAGCTCCTGGGTATAAGTCATACTGCTTTCCATTTACTGTTAGGGCTACTTCTCGAGTTGTAAAGAATGCAATTGTTTGAAGAACTCTTCATTTAAATAATTTCCTTGATTGTCTAAGTGAAATTTGTTTTAATGTGTCTCAGATCTATTTGGGAAATGTCTCTTTAAAGCTAGAGCAACTTCATTATTGGGGCAGCAAGGCTTATCTGGGGAGCAGAACATAAAGAAATACATAACAGCAGAATGGGAGATGTTCAGTCGGATGCATTTTTATTTTTTCCTTTTTACAGAAAGTTTTCATGCATTGCTTTCATTGTGTCTCAATGAAACAGTGACAAACTTTTTGTGTTACTTCACAAACTCTTTCCATTTTTTGTTGTGGAGTAAATGCAGGAGCTTGGCCCTTTCAGTTTTTCTTATTGCAAATGCTGCTTAGTTTATTTTGCTGTGACTTTTTCCCATGCCTATGCTTGTCTTGATATTGAATATCCAATGGCTATTTGTTTACTGTATCTGATTGACCTTTCTGGCTTGTAGTGTTACCCACCCTGAAAAGCTTACTGAACATGTATTAACTCAATAACTTTGTGTACTCATATACTGTATTTTCCGGCGTATAAGGCGACTGGGCGTATAAGACGACCCCCTAATTTTCTAGTTAAAAGATAGGTTTTCATCTTCTACTCGCCGTATAAGACTACCCCCCTTAAGAGGCCAACTGGCAGCGCCCCAGCGCCTCTCCGCCTCCCCGGCTTTGCTCCTGGTGTCCCTGGCCTGCTGGAGACGGTCCCCAGCAGACCAGGGGCACCGGGAGCAAAACCGCAGCCGTGGCAATAAGACGACCCCCTAATTTTCTAGTTAAAAGATAGGTTTTCATCTTCTACTCGCCGTATAAGACTACCCCCCTTAAGAGGCCAACTGGCAGCGCCCCAGCGCCTCTCCGCCTCCCCGGCTTTGCTCCTGGTGTCCCTGGCCTGCTGGAGACGGTCCCCAGCAGACCAGGGGCACCGGGAGCAAAACCGCAGCCGTGGCAGGGTCCCACACCTCTGAGGCTTTGCCAGAGCAAAGCCTAAGAGGCGCGGGACCCCTCCACCTCCCCGGCTTTGCTCCCGGTGTCCCTGGTCTGCTGGAGACGGTCCCCAGCAGACCAGGGGCACCCAGAGCAGCTTTTCTCAC